ACAGAGAAAACATAGCATCTCAAATGTCTCATTTTTGTATCAAGGGATATGTTGTGACTTTTGAAGATGGCGCTCATTTTGTTAAAGACCGTTCTTGCCTTTCCTATGCGGCACTTTATTTCCTGTGCATTGCTCCACTGTTCGTTTATAATAGTTCCCAGGTAACAATACTGTTTTACTCGCTCTATCTGCGTCCCATTAATGTATAGATGAGCCCCGTTTATATTCTCCTTGCTGATAATCATTTGTTTCGTTTTGTGGGTATTAATGTTTAGTCCGTACTGTTGACTGTACTCGTTTATTCTGTCCATTAGCCTCTGAAGTCCCTCTAAACTATCTGCTATCACCATGGTGTCGTCGGCATATCTAACATTGTTTACTCTTTCACCATTTAGAAGGATGCCTTCGTCTATTCCGTAAAGAGCCTCGTTAAAAATTTTCTCTGAGTACATATTAAATATCAACGGCGATAGGATACATCCCTGTCTAACTCCACGTAGTATGTTTATGTGATCTGTTTCTTCTCCGTTAATTTTCATGTATGCGGTCTGATTCCAGTAGAGTTCTGAAATTATTCTGAGGTCTTTGTCATCCAGGTCTGCCTCCTTTAAAATGTTTATCATCTTTTGATGTTGAACTCTGTCAAATGCCTTTTCATAGTCGATCAAGCACGCGTATACGTCGCAGTTAACGTCCCTGCATCTTTGAATCAGTACCTGTACTCCGAAAAGTGCCTCTCTGGTACCCACTGCGTTAATGAAGCCGAACTGTCTGTCCGATATTTGTTCCTCGCACTTCTTATAAATTCTTCCATGGATGACTCTAAGAAACAGTTTCAACATGTGGCTCATTAGGCTGATTGTTCGATATTCTTCGCACTTTTTAGCCCCCTGTTTTTTAGGTATCGCTATGAATTCTGATTCTAGCCATTTATCAGGGATGATTCCTGTATTGTATATTTTATTGAAGACAGCCGTGATCTAATTTATTCCTTTCTTCCTCCAAGAGTTTTAAAAATTCAGCTTCGATATTATCAGGCCCTACAGCTTTCCTGCTTTTCATCCATTTTATTGCTTCTTCTACCTCGGATTTAAGTATGTCCGGGCCCGTCATCCTCTCTGAAAATGGATGCCTATAATCCGTTCTTTGATCTTGAAAAAGTGTCTCCAAATATATTCTCCATTTGTCTTTCATCTCTTGGTGTCAATGATTAATTTTCCATTGGTGTCTATGATTTCATTTGTGTTCGCTTTTTAAAAGTACCCGTTATTTCTTTTACCTTTCTGTGTACATAAAAATTGTCATGCTTGGCTTGTAGTCTTTCTATTTCTTTACATTTCTCTACAGCTTCTTTTTCTTTAGCTTCTCTTATTTTTCTTCTGATGTAAGCCTGCATTATTTTATACTCATCTTTATTTCCTTTAATTAACCTTCTGCGTTCCATCAAGTGAAGGATTTCTGGAGTCATCCAAGATTTCTTCTTTGTTTCTTTGTTTGGTTTTAGCAGATCTTGTTTAGTTTTCTTAATTATTTCTTCGAATTGATTGATTTCTTGTTGGATGTTATTTTCTTCTTTTAGTTGTTTAACTTGGTTGTTAATATATTCCCCCACTTGCTTTTTAACTTCCGGATGTTGCAGGGCTGTCCTGTCGTAGTTAGGTCTAGACTTTTTCTTTATTGTCTTCAGTCTCACATCCATGACTCTCACTAAAGGTATGTGGTCAGATTCAATGTCCGCTCCTGGATATGTTTTGACAGATTTAAAACTGTTTCCGAATCTTCTATTTACCAATATATAATCTATCTGGTTTCTAATTACGTTATGGGGTTTATCTGCTGGTGCCTTCCATGTATACAATCTCCTCGGTGGTAGTTTATAAAATGTGTTCAGAACCACTAGGAACGTTTCCAGAAACAATTAATAAGGCAGTGGTATTTAACGAATTCCGGAAAATCTTCATCTTTGTTACATAGCGATATAAATCCATTACTAACACCAATCATTGCCGGAGCCCCTTCTGTCGTTATTGAAACTAGCTTAAAGAAAGGTAAATTATTCTTAAGGACAAAATGTTTGAATTCCGTGAATAAATCAATGCCACGTGTTCTACTTTTAAGGATATCATTGTTAGCAACTCTTCTCTTGTTGAGAAGTCATCAAAGACCATCTGAATGAATATAAGTAACTGTGCAGTATCCATGATATCCGTAGACTGATCAAGCTGTAACGAAAAAGCAATGCACCGAAGTAGATCTCATGGCAGTTGTTCATTAAGATTTTTACTCAACAATTCTATACGACGCATCACAGTATTTCTTGACAGCTCCAGATCATGTATATTTTTGTTATTTCATTTTTATTTTTGCAATTAACGAACAGTAAATCTGATAAATCTTCGAATATTTCTTTGACATATTCTTCACCAGAAAACGTCTTACACTTTTGCGTAATTTCATAACAAACTAAGAATAAAGCTTCAGTTACAGCCTTAGACTGTTCATTCGGCTTACAAAACATATTTTCCTGGGCAGTCAAAAGAGATTTTAATGCTTGAAGCTTATTCTTTCTCACTTCACTGTTAGGTGGAAAGTCTGATTGATATTGACCTGATTGTGTTGAGGACGGTCTAAATATCCTTTTTTCGATATTGCTACTGATGTATTGCAGATTAAGCAGCAACAATTTTCTTTTACCATGATTTACCATAATGTGACAGGGATAAAAATAGCAGAATGAAAAGGGAAAGAAAGCAGCTACCCATTTATAGTCACTATATAGTACATATACTATAACATTTACGAGTATAGTGTTACGATAATTATGGCGTTTATAACTATCAATATATTATGACTAATTCTGTTTTCTGTTCCAGTAAATTCGAAGTTGTTTACAGAAACCTTTAGACCCCAATTTTATGAGTAATCCACGTCTCGAGGCTTTTCGAACAGTTGAAAAACGAGTCGAGCGCCTTCACCAAAATACGAGATTATTCAAGAAGTTCGCCGAATTTTCTAGATGACAACAGTTGTGTATATAAAGAAAGATTTTTTTATTTGGCAGTCACTCATAAGAAGATCGGGAAACGCGGTTTACTTGTAACGAAACGTGACATAAATACATTTGTACAGCTATTTAATGAATTAGTAATTAGTTATCGTGAGTTTTAATAAATTAGAATATAGACAATAAATTAGAATAAAGACAAATAAATTAGAACAATATAAATATACAACAATAGTATTATATACAGGGCCCGTATTTTCGAAACCGTTCGAACAGAAGTCGTATGCGAAAGATGATGAATTTCGAACGAAAATCGATGATTCGTATTTTCGAGTTGATTTCGAACGCATCGTATACGACGATTTTCGTACACGACTGCTCGAATGGGTATTCACCATTCGAATAGCGGTAAACACAAGGAGTTTGACATTTCTGACTTTTGCATTTAGTTTGGTTTTTAATTGTTTACATAAGTGAGATGGCCGGCCTAAATTTTTTAATTGAAAGAAATGTTTTACATGCCTTAGAAGATGCAGAAATGTTAGCGAATGTGGAGAATAGAGTATACCATGAATTTTTAAACCCTCTTGAAGCCTTATTAGACAAACAATTTGTAAAATTATACCGTTTAACAAAGCCTCTGGCAGAAGAACTAATAGAACTTTTGGAGCCCCACTTGGTACCTCCATCTAGGGCATCTGCATTGAACATACCGAGAAAGCTAAGTATAACCGTTGATTGAATTATCCAATTATTCAATCAACGGTATAACAAATATTTTTAATTCGAAATAGGTATACTGTGAAAATGTTCCCCAAAACACCCTCCGCTTTGTTCCTTAAGAATAAGCATCCGGGCCAAAAATTTTACATAGAGAGTAATAAAATTGTTTACCTACAATAATTTTTTGCAGGTTTTCTAATCTATTTTCTTCCATAAAATCTATCAGTTCTTTTTTTTTTGTTCGGAAGATACAAATCCTCCGAACATGGAATTTTTATTTTCTTTGTCCATATTGGAAACAGAGAAAACAGATAAGTACGAAAACACAAGCCAAAACACGTTAACACTGTGTAGAAAATTGGGCAAATCACAAAAAACTGATAAACTTGTCAGTCAAATAAATGTCGCCTGTCACTTCTACCTCTTCTTTTCTTAATTTCGTGCGAATTTGCGGCGTTGCCGGTAAATTTGGGTTAACAGATTCTCGTATGCGAATTAAACTTTCGAATTGCGTTCGAAAATACGCTTCTACGTTCGTGCACGATTTTTTTTCGTTCGAACTAATCGCATGCAAATAAAGTCGAACACATTCAAAAATACGACCCCAGAGTAGACACTTCATAGGAACCCTGTTCGACAGGTTGGCCTCCCCTGATGTAGTGGATAAAAGACTAGCATGGTACATACATGTTAGACTCAGGAAACTGAATAAACAAAATAACAGAATAAACTTCGATACGAAGCAGAAGTGAAAACAGATGTCGAATAAAGAGATACATTAGAAGTGATCGCAGAAAAAATAAATACCGCTCCAATATTGTGATTGTCCTCCTCCTCAGTCCTAATCCTTTTTGGGATGTGGTGACATCATCATGCCTTCACAGTTTTTTTACGATTTCCCTCCATCCTTCTCTGTCCTGAGCTAGTTGTTCTGCTTCATGTAACCCTTGGTTAATCAATATTTTTGTTTGATTTACTCAACGGCTTGGAGATTTTCCCCTAGGTCTTTTTCCTTCAACTCTACCCTCGACTATCAGTTTTTCCATCGTGCCTGTTCTTCTAGCAATGTGCCTAAAATACTGCAAATATTTCTGTTGTATTTGTATTGTGATTGTAGATCAACTAAATTCAGTCATATGGAACAAATATAATATTAGATTAACATATCGACAAAACCTGTGTGATTCTGTAGAAATAGTAGTAAAATTTCAAGACAAGAACAACACTATAAAATTAACTATAATGACATTAACAATTTGATCGATTAAATGACGTTTTATACATAAATAATTTCCTGTCACAATGATCTTGTAAATATTATACACTTAATTATACAAAAAGAACAATGTGTATATACAATATAATAATGAAATGTGTGTCTGTGGTCGTCCTTTTTACGCCATTTCCTGTTGCATCACCAACACCTTTAAATGGTAAGCCAACCCATTCAAACTAATTTTAGGGAACTACGTTCACCGTTACGCACCATTACCAAGAAAATCTATCTCTGCGTCAATATAATTGTTTACCTCATCTTAATTGCTTAATTTTGAATTAGTAATGGGATCTGCGTCGTTGATTATATTTATTTTTTATGATATATTGTAATGGTATATAATTAACTGAAGCCTCATTGATCCTGTTCCGAATTAATATAAATTCCTTATATGGGGGATCTAGAAACAAAACCAGCAATCTCCACTTTTGTGGACTCCACTAACAAATTTTTCAGGAAATAAATTTTTTTAATATTTTAGCGCTTTATTTTTTTTATTGGGTTTAATGCGTCGACAACTAATGGTTATTGGCATGGTACAGTGAATTATTACAGTCAGGTACCTAGTGTAGAGTGTAGTGTGTGTGTAGAGTAATTGTCTTGATACTTAGCAAAATCGACGCTAAGAGACGCTAATTGTATCCGAACGTCTGCGGTCCCTCCGGTGAGTACCGATCACACAAGGATAGAAATTATTTTCATTCATTAATTTTTAATAAACGAAAATTTCTCCACCCAGGGGAGATTCGAACTCACGACCTTTAGGTTCAAAGGTAGGCGCTCTTACCACTGAGCCACAGAGGGGGTTATTAAAGTTTTATTTTTTTTTGTTATTTATATTTATTTGTACATTGACTTTAGTTATTCTCAAACTAAACCTAATTATTTCATTAAATTTTGAGTAATTAACAATTTCAGCTTATAGAGATTTCTGGTTTTGCTTTAAACACTTCGAGATTGCCTATTTTCCAACAGAGGAAACAATTATATGAATGCATAAAACACACATCTTCCTTGAAACTACATTTTTATTGAAAAAATCTTAAAACAAATATTTATGGAACAAAAAAGTTCTAAACCAAATCTGAAATTTCATCGCAAGCATAAGCTTCTTCTTCAATATGTTTAATATCTCCTTCATTTTCTTCAAAATGAATAACGTTTTCTAGCATATCATTATTCGTGTTTAAAGCGTTATGGTAAAGTTTTTGCAAGCTTCACCAAAATATTTTGTTAGTTTATTAACGTCCCGAAGTTTTAAGGAGTTAACTTTAATAGCCCTTTATATACACTGGTTTCTTTGGACTCTTCGGAAATCGTTATCAAAATATTCCGAAGTTGAAGTCGAAACGTCAAACAAATTTAAGTTCTGACTAATATTTAGGCTTATTTCCAATTAAAATAGTAAATTTGCATAAGATGCCATAAGAAAATAACTTCAGAACAATATAAAAAAACAATTACTTCTAATTTTAGTACAAGTATGAGTTAATTTTCGTTGTTTGTTGATAATTCTTCTGTAGTCAATCCGGAGTGTAGGAAATTGTACCTGTGTGGTAGTGTCAGAAATAGATCTACAGAAAGGAAAACGATTTGCCATAACAAAAAGTAGATGATGATGAAGAATCGTGTATTTTAAATGGGTATTCATTTGCTTATGTTGGATAATAAAAGTTAGGTAGTTTAACACCCTAGCTATGTTTTTCATCAATACAGACGATTAATCCCACCACTTTTATTATTGTTTTGTTTACATTACCTGTGACAGTTTGTTTCCTAAATTTGTGTCATCGAAGGATTTTTGACATACAGATTGAACGAAATAAATTCGGAACATACAAAATATGATGTATTTCGGCTCAATTACGCTGTAGGTGGTTGGCCAACAAAAGGTTGTCAAATAATTATATTATAAAAATCCAATACTTCAACAGGCTGCTGGATTCTGAAATCATAAAAATTGAAAGCTACACATAAATCTACGATTTTATTATGCTGTCAAACCACTTATCGCTTCCTTAGACAAGCCCTTCTTTGAGCGGTGTTGCCAACCTCATTCCTTTAGATGTTTCTCAAATAAGGTGTTAACCAAAAAAAATTTACAGGAAAAAAGGAAATAACTACAAACAATTAACTTTATTTTTGTTATTAGTCTGTTGTAGTATATTGGCAAATACAATGAAAAATATAGGCAAATATCCGATTTAATTAAAGATACAAAGAAGATATAACTCTTAAAAAGATCCGCAAATCGGATTATTACACGGCGATTGGCAACATTGTTATGCAAACAACATTGTTGCGAGACAGATAGTGGAACGATATTTTATACAATGTCTATCCCCAGGTATGGATTTATTTTTGTCCAATTTTGCACTTCATTTCGAGATGACCGCTTCATTGTCACTAAAGTATTGAGAAATCGCTTTTGCACCATTCCTGAAGCTCGTAGGTCTCTTCTTGTGGTGAGAAATAATAGTGTGAGTAGACAAACGATTAGAAGAAGACTGTCAAAAATAAACTTGAGGGCATTTTGTCCAGCTCGCGCATCACAACTGCTCCCACAACCCCGTAGGGCTAGACTTCATTTTGCGCGAGAATATGCTAACTGGACTATGGCGGAATGGAAGAATATACTGTTCTCAGATGAGAACAGAATAGTCCTAAAGGTCCAGATGGATGCCAACCTATCTATAGGTGTCAAATGAAAGTTCTGCTGCATGCGCTATAACCGAAACAGTGGCTTACCGAGGAAGGTCAATAATGATTTGGGGAGGTATTTCTTACGAAGCACGTACTGATCCTGTTGTATTTGGTACAGGCAGTGAGAATGCCCAAGTATACGTACAAGAAGTTCTCCAAGACCATGTCAAGCCTTTTGCACCACTCATTGGTGATAACTTCATACTAATGCATAACAATGCACGTTGCCATACAGCAAGATCTACCCGTGAGTAAATTAATGAGGTCGGGATTCAAGTTCTACCATGGCCAGCACACAGTCCTGATCTTAACCAGTTGACCATATCTGGGACAACCTCAAAAGACGTGTAAGAGCAAGAGTACCAGCCCCTGCATCATTTGAAGAGCTGAAGACAGCTGCGGTAAAGGAGTGGCACAATATCCTCCAATCTGATATCCAGGATATCATGAATGGACTGCCAAACCGGCTCCAAGAAGTCCTAAGGGCTAGAGGCGGCAACACCCATTATTGAAACCCATTTTTTTTTAAATTAGACTTTGATCTCCAAAATACTGTTAAGTTGAATGACTTTTTTTGAAAAAGATTATTTTTTGTCTTCCGCGAAGATAAAAATTGATAAAAAAGATGTCTAGTTGTTAAAGCTCTTAACTTTTACATTATCTAACATAAGCGAATCAATCAAAAAACAAAATGTTGAGAAAGCATGAGGTTATAGTTACGATTTAATTTCATTATTCTAAACATGCTAGAATATCCCACAGGATCATGCAAACTTAAAAAAAACACAGTTTGATTCGTACACCCGGTATACAGTAAAAATATTTACCTGTTTAGCAACAATATTAAACAATGTTAATAAAGATATTGTCAAGGAATAAGGCTATAACATATTAAAAAAATCACTTAAATCGGACAACAGGTTTAGAAGATATAAGAAATCAAAAATTACCCATTTTTAAAGTGCCCGGTTAATTTTGGCCCAGAGTGTAAATATTATATAGCAAAAAATACATGCATAGCCAAATAAAGCCATAAGCTAATTTAAATTAATTATTTTATGAACCTGATCCTGTCTATGTTGTAACAAAAACAACAGTTTGCAAAACATTTCTGATCATGAAGATTCAGTTAGATTATGTCAACCTATCAAAAATCCCACCGTATGTTGATAGACGTCACAAACAAAAATCAACACAAATTGTCATCAATAAAGTATATTGACTCAATTTTCAATTAAATTAGGTCCCAGTTGCAATTACTGTTTAATACGCTGAAGGTAAACATACATCTTGCATGACTGAGATTTACTATCGGCAAATTACACGGCTCTATCGACATTCAACTATAATAAGGTCCTATATTTAATTCTATTACTATTGATCAACGCTAATTAGATTTAATTAAAACCATATTTCGGATAATCCGCATCCAGGAACAGTTCTGCCATATGCAGCATACACGGCGGCAATTAGTTTTATCAAAGGGAGTAATTATTCCATAATTACATTTATTTATATAATCTTATATATGTCTATTTATGTATATATATGTGCGTGTCCTACTGAGACATAGAAGTATCTCAAATGGGATCGAGGTTTCTCAAGCTGCGCCAAAATTTTCTGTGTCATCTGTTAAAAGATTTTAGTCTTTTTAACATCTTGTCCACTTCTTGGTTGATGATCTGTAGCATTGCGGGATTGTACCGCCTATAAGGCTGTTTGACTGGAGCGCACTTTTTCTTGAATTTTATTTCGTGTTTTATTACGTTGGTGGGTCCTGTTATGTTCTCAAACTCCCTTAGTTCTTTTCTTAGTAACCTTTCTAACCCCGTATTTTGAGTGAAGTCTTTTAAAGTCTTTGGTCGTATGTTTATCGAGTTTAAGTTAAGTTTGTCGGGTTTGTAACTTATCGATATCGGCTAAGTTGCCGAAATCCCGGCGGCGAGCATAAAGCTTATATTCTGGTAACAACAATCGTATATCCTTTCGAGTTCTTGGTTTCTGGAAAAAGATCCTTCTCGTCTGATTGATGTTTGAATTTCCGTGATATATTTATCTACTGGTTCATTTTTCTCTGTTTTCTGTTTTGGATTTGCTCCTCTAGTTGTAGCAAATATCCTCTGGGATAGAAAGCTTTTTTAAAATCTTCGCTGAAATCTGTCCATGACTTCCAATTTTTGTTATTGTTTCTGTACCAGAACAATGCTCTTATGGTAATGCTCTTAGTAGATCTTGTTTATCGATCTCGTAGGCTAAGCTTAATTCGTCTATCCCCTCTAAGAATTCTATTGCATCCGAATGTTTCTTGTCGAAGTGTGTGTTCCACTTTCGTACTTGATTTAGAAATTTTGGTTGCCCCATTTGTTTCATTATTGTTAATTCCTGTAATTGTCTTCGGATGACCGAAATTTCCTGGGTCAGTGTGTCGGATTCTGCTACATTTCAAGTTTTTTC